TTCACTGGAGCAAGCAAGCCTCCCTGCTCGCTTCCAGCTGCCTGGCTGCTGGCCGCCATCTTGGCTGACAGTTAATTTGCATATACTCACTGATTAGCCAATGAAAAGGGTAGCGGTCGTATGCTAATTACCATATTTCTCTTTTATTAGTGTAGATATGCATAAACCATGGACACAGACAATAGGGTGGTGAAAACCTGGGGTGGGATAGGAACCAGGTGGTGGGGGGCAATGGAGGAAAAAAAGGGGCACATCTGTAATATTCTCAACAATAAAGATTTAAAAACAAAAAGGAGGACATACAGATGGCCAAGAGACACATGAAAAAATGCTCTAAGTCACTAATTATCAGAGCAATGCAAATTAAAAGGACAATTAGGTATCATCTTACACCTCCCAGAAAGGCTACCATCAACAAAATGAATCACAAGTGCTGCTGAGGATGTGGAGAAAGGAGAACCGTAGTACACTGTTGGTGGGAATGCAGACTGGTACAAGACAGTATAGTTTCCTAAAAAAATTAAAGATGGAACTGCCATTTGACTCAGTGATCCCACTTCTAGGAAAATATTCTAAGAATCCTGAAACACCAATCAGGAAGAACATATACATATTTATGTATATAAATACAGACCCCCCCTTTCCCCCCCCCCAGTGCACTTATATTTATATCAGTGTTATTTACAATAGCTAAGATTTGGGAACAGCCCAAGTGTCCATCAGTAGATGAGTAGATTAAAAAAACTGTGGTACATTTACACAATGGAATACTATGCAGCAGTAAAAAAGAAGGATCTCTTACCTTTTGAGACAGCATGGAAGGACCTGGAGAGTATTATATTAAGTGAAATAAGCCAGTCAGAGAAAGACAAGTATCACATGATCTCACTCAGATGTGGAATCAAATGAACAAAATAAACTGATGAATAAAATGATCCAGAAACTGTGGAATCTCAGAGGGAAGACAAGGGAGGGTGGGTGGAAAGTGACCAACTAAAAACTTTTATGCATATATGCATAACCCATGGACACAGAAAATAGTGCAGTAGGCCTGGGGGGTTTGGAGTGAAGGGGTCAATGGGGGGAAAAGTGGACATCTGTAATAGTTTTAACAACAAAGATAAACTTTAAAAAAAGAAGAAACGGAAAATCTGAACAGACCAATTACTACCAACAAAATCAAATCAGTAATAAAAAAAACTCCCAATAAACAAAAGTCATAGACTGGATGACTTCACAGATGAATTTAAAATAAAAAAATTTTTAAAATTTATTTCTGAGAGAGGGAGAGGGAGAGAGAGAAACATCAATGATGAGAAAGAATTATTGACTGGCTGCCTCCTGCACCCCCCACCCCCACCCCACTAGGGCTCCAGCTTGAAACCCAGGCATGTGTCCTGACCAGGAATGGAACCCTGACCTCCTGGTTCATGGATTGATGCTCAACCACTGAGTCACACTAGACAGGCATTTTACCAAACATTCAAATAATAATTAATATCTCTCCTCAAGCTATTCAAAAAATTCAAGAGGACTAAAGGCTCCCAATCATTTTAAGATGCCAGAATTACTCTGATTCCAAAACCAGAAGTCTTTACAAAGAAAGAAAATTATAGATTAAAATCCCCAATGAACATGGATGCAAAAATCCTCAACATAATATTGGTAAATTGAATTCAGAAATACATTAAAAAGATCATATACCACAATCAAGTGGGATTTATTCCTGGATTGCAAGGTGGGTTTAATATCAGCCAATTAATTAATGTGATACACCACATAAAAAATGGAAGATAAAACATATGATCATATCAATACATGCAGACAAAGCACTTGACAAAATGCAGCATCCATTTATGATAAAAACTCTTAGTAAAATGGGAATAGAGGGATCATACCTCAACATAATAAAGGCCACATATGGAAATCCACAACTTACATCACACTCAATGAGGAAAAGCTAAAATCAGGAACAAGACAAGGATACCCACTTTCACCACTTTTATTCAACATAGCAAGTCTTAGCCACAGCAATGAAACTAGAAAAACAAAAAGGCATCCAAATTGGAAAGAAAGATGTAAAACTGTCTGTCATTATTTGCAGATGACATGATACTGTATATAGAGAACCCAAAGGATGCCACCAAAAAACTACTAGAACTGATAAGTGAATTCAGTAAAGTAATAGGGTTCAAAATTAATATTCATAAATTTGGTTCCATTTTTATACACCAATAATGAACTACTGGAAAGGAAAACTAAAAAACAATCTAATTTACAATTGCATCAGAAAAGTACCTAAGAATAAATTTAATCAAGGAGATAGAAGACCTGTGCTTAGAAAATTATAAGACATGGAAGAAAAAAACTGAAGAAGATACAAATAAATGGAAGCATATATAGTACCATGTTCATGGATAGGAACAATTAACATGGTTAAGATGCCCATACTATTCAAAGCAATCTAAATAGATTCAATGCAATCGCTATCAAAATACCAATGGTATTTTTCACAGAACTAGAACAAATAATTCCAAAATTTATATGGAACCAAAAAAGACCCTGAATAGCCACTAGTATAATTCTGAGGAAAAAAACATGCTACCTGATATCAAACTACACTACAAGTCCATAGTAATCAAAACAGCATGGTAGTGGCATAAAAATAGACATATAGATCAAATGGAACATTATAGAGAGCTCAGAAATGAACCCACACCTTTATGGCCAATTAATATTTGATATATGAGGCAAAAACATACAGTGGGGTAAAGATAGTCTATTGAAGAAATGGTGTTGGGAAAAGTGGACAGATACATGCAAAAAAAAGAAACTAGACCACCTTCTTACACCATATACAGAATTAAACTCAAAACTGATTAAAGTTTTAAATATAATCCTATCTAATAATAGACAAACATGGTAATTGACCGTACCTTCGCTACGCCTCCCATTGGCTAATCAGCAAGATATGCAAATTAACTGCCAACAAAGATGGCGGTTAATTTGCATACTTAGGTGCGAAGCAGCAGAGCGAAGACTGAAGGCGGCTCCAGCTGGAGCAGCTCAGGCTTGAAGGCGGCTCCGGCCAGAGCAGCTCAGGCTTGAAGGCAGCTCCGGCCCGAGCGAAGGCCTGGGTCCCAGATGCTGGAGGAAAACCGGTGCCGGCAGCCAGGTGGAGGGAAGGTCTATTGCACAAATCTTTTCGTGCAACAGGCCTCTAGTATCCTATATAATAAAAGGCTAAATAGACCGAACGGCGGAACCAAACCGGTTGCTATGACATGCGCTGACCACCAGGGGGCGCGTGCGGAACATGGCGGGCGTTGGCTGTGGCGGGATGGTGGAGCAGGTGAGCGGGGGTGCCAGACCAAGGCAGGGCACCAGTTGCTGTCATTGGGGCAAGCCTCTGGTGGTTATTGAAAATTCTTTGCTCCTGTGCACCGCTGTCCTGCCTGGCACTCGCACCTGCTGCCGGCACTGGCCCCACTTGCACCTGCTGCCAATGCTGGAGCCGCTGCTCATACCTGTTGCCAGCGTCTGGTGCTGGCCCCGATCACTTGGCACCGTCAGCGGGTTCGAGCAGCGGCTGCTGGCCCCGATCACCACTCAGGGCTTCTCCACCTCCCCCAGCTCCTGAGGGGTGATTGGGGCTGGAAGCTGCCTCTCACACCCACTGCCAGGAACAGCCCTGCTCTCACCTGCTGCCCGCACCAGAGCTGCCACTCATACCCACTGCTGGCACTGGCGCCACTCGCACCTGCAGCCAGCGCCGGTGTCGCCGCTCACACTTGCTGTGGCCCACAGTTCCTTTCAAGGTGCACAAATTCGTGCACTGGGCCCCTAATCTACACTAATAAAAGAGAAACATGGTAATTGGCGTACGACCGCTACCCTTCCCATGAGGCTGAGTCTGTGGATGTGGCCCGGGAAAGGGACAAGCTGCCCGCCCCGTGGTCCCGGGTGCCAGTGGCTGCACCTGTGCCTGCGGCCCAGGAGAGGGACAAGCTGCCAGCCCTATGGTCCCGAGAACCAGAGGCTGAGTCTGTGGATGTGGCCCGGGAAAGGGACAAGCTGCCCGCCCCGTGGTCCCGGGTGCCAGTGGCTGCACCTGTGCCTGCGGCCCAGGAGAGGGACAAGCTGCCAGCCCTATGGTCCCGAGAACCAGAGGCTGAGTCTGTGGATGTGGCCCGGGAAAGGGACAAGCTGCCCGCCCCGTGGTCCCGGGTGCCAGTGGCTGCACCTGTGCCTGCGGCCCAGGAGAGGGACAAGCTGCCAGCCCTATGGTCCCGAGAACCAGAGGCTGAGTCTGTGGATGTGGCCCGGGAAAGGGACAAGCTGCCCGCCCCGTGGTCCCGGGTGCCAGTGGCTGCACCTGTGCCTGCGGCCCAGGAGAGGGACAAGCTGCCAGCCCTATGGTCCCGAGAACCAGAGGCTGAGTCTGTGGATGTGGCCCGGGAAAGGGACAAGCTGCCCGCCCCGTGGTCCCGGGTGCCAGTGGCTGCACCTGTGCCTGCGGCCCAGGAGAGGGACAAGCTGCCAGCCCTATGGTCCCGAGAACCAGAGGCTGAGTCTGTGGATGTGGCCCGGGAAAGGGACAAGCTGCCCGCCCCGTGGTCCCGGGTGCCAGTGGCTGCACCTGTGCCTGCGGCCCAGGAGAGGGACAAGCTGCCAGCCCTATGGTCCCGAGAACCAGAGGCTGAGTCTGTGGATGTGGCCCGGGAAAGGGACAAGCTGCCCGCCCCGTGGTCCCGGGTGCCAGTGGCTGCACCTGTGCCTGCGGCCCAGGAGAGGGACAAGCTGCCAGCCCTATGGTCCCGAGAACCAGAGGCTGAGTCTGTGGATGTGGCCCGGGAAAGGGACAAGCTGCCCGCCCCGTGGTCCCGGGTGCCAGTGGCTGCACCTGTGCCTGCGGCCCAGGAGAGGGACAAGCTGCCAGCCCTATGGTCCCGAGAACCAGAGGCTGAGTCTGTGGATGTGGCCCGGGAAAGGGACAAGCTGCCCGCCCCGTGGTCCCGGGTGCCAGTGGCTGCACCTGTGCCTGCGGCCCAGGAGAGGGACAAGCTGCCAGCCCTATGGTCCCGAGAACCAGAGGCTGAGTCTGTGGATGTGGCCCGGGAAAGGGACAAGCTGCCCGCCCCGTGGTCCCGGGTGCCAGTGGCTGCACCTGTGCCTGTGGCCTGGGAGAGGGACAAGCCACCCACCCCCTCAGCCCCAGGTGTCAGCGGCTGCACCTGCGCCTGTGGCCTGGCCCGGGAGAAGGACAAGCCGCATGCCCTGCGATTCCCAGGCACTTGCGGCTGCAGCATGGGCGAAGTAGCCCACCCACAGTCCCCTGCAGCTGCGGCCGGCCCAGGAGAAGCCAGCCCGGGTCCTGGGTGTCTGCGGCCGGCCAGAGGGAGGGAAGCCCAGGTCCCGGGTGCCTGCAAACAACTGGAGGAGGGAATCCTGGGTCCCAGGTGCAGGGCGAGGCAGAAGCGGTTAGGGGCAATCAGACCAGCAGGGGAGCAGTTAGGGGTGATCAGGCAGGCAGGCAGGCGGGCGAGTGGTTAGGGGCTAGCGGTCCCAGATTGCGAGAGGCAGTCGGACATCCCCCGAGGTGTCCCAGATTGGAGAGGGTGCAGGCCGGGCTGAGGGATCCACGCCGCCTGCACGAATTTCATGCACCAGGCCTCTAGTTTAAATATAAGACTTGAAACCATAAAACTGCTAGAAGAAAACTTAGGCAGTAAACTCTCTGACATTTACCAAGGTTTTTTTCTGATATATTTCCTCAAGCAAGGGGAACAAACAAACAAAAAACACTAAAGGGACTATAGCAAATTAAAAAGATTTTGCACAGCAAAGGAAACTATCAACAAAATAAAGAGACAGCTTACTAAAAAGAAGAAGATATTCACCTATGATATATCCAATAAGGGGTTAATATGCAAAATTTATAAAGAACTCATACAATTCAACACCAAAAGAACAAACAATCCAATTAAAAAATGGGCAGAGGACCTTACTAGACACTTCCCCAAAGAGGACATACAGATGGCCAATAGACATGAAAAATGTTCAAGCAGTCATCAGAGAAATGCAAATTACAACCACAATGAGATATTATCTCACCCCTGCCAGAATGGCTATCATCAATAAATCAACAAACAACAAGTGCTGGTGAGGATGTAGAGAAAAAGGAACCCTCTTGCACTGTTGGTGAGATTGCAAATTGGTACAGCCACTATAGAAAACAGTATGGAGATTTCTAAAAAAATTAAAAATAGACCTACCTTTTGACCCAGCAATTCCACTTCTGGATATATATTGGAAGAAATAAAAAGGTGGGTGTGGGTGGAGGGGGTCAATGGGGGAAAAAAACCAAGGGGACATCTGTAATACTTTCAACAATAATTTTTTTAAAAGCACTAATCTGAAAAGCAACCCAAGTGCTCATCAATAGATGATTGGAGAAAGAAGATATATACAATGGAATACAACTTGGCTATAAAAAAGAATGAAATCTTGCCCGGCCAGCATGGTTCAGTGGTTGAGTGTCGACCTATGAACCAGGAGGTCACGGCTGACTCCCGGTCAGGGCACATGCTGGGTGTGGGCTCGATCCCCAGTGCGGGGTGTGCAGGAGGCAGCCGAAATAATGATTCTCTGTCATCACTGATGTTTCCATCTCTCTCTCTCTCCCTTTCTCTCTGAAATCAATAAAACTATATTTTTTTAAAAAAAAGAATGAAATCTTACAATTCACAATATGGGTGGACCTAGAGAATATTATGTTAAGTAAAATAAGTCAGACAGAGAAAGGCAAATACCATATGATTTTACTTATATGTGGAATCTAAAGAACAAAATAAACAAACAAAATAGAAACAGACTTATAGATAAAAGAATAAAGTGAGGGTTGCTAGGTCAGATGTGGGGCGGGGGCTTGATTGAAAAGGTGAAGGGATTAAGAAATATAAATTGGCAGTTACAAAACAGTCACAGGGATGTAAAGTACAACAGAGGGACTATTGTCAATAATACTGTAGTAACTATGTATGGTGCCAGGTGACACTAGAATTATGGGGGAGGGGAGAAGGGTGGGAATCTCTTTGTGAATTATACAATTGTCTAACCACTATGCTGTATACCTGAAACTAATATGATATTGAATGTCAACTGTAATTGAAAAAAAAATCAGGGGTCCTTCATACGGGCTCTGTGACTCTCCCAGACTAGAGATCTGGTGGATTCTGGACCATCTAAATTTCCTGGCAAATTTTTGAATGGACACTTATGTTACTGGGGAAAAGCCTCAACGTTTTCAACAGATTCTCAAAGGGGTCACGACTCCCCAAAAGTTTAAACCACTGCAAATAATACCCTTCAAATGTTATCACCACACCTTGGACAGATCTTTCTGTGCATAGGAATGGTGGACCTTGGGGAGCCTGAGTGGGGACCCTGGCTGTGAGGACTTCCATGTTCAAGGTCTGGCCTGCCATCAGGAAACACAAAGGCACATGATGCCTGACTGATTTCAGTTCCATCTAAGGACAATTCTGCTGCACAGTACAGTCACAGGATATAGGCTGTGATTGGGAAAGGAAAAGGCAGGGTTTAGGGCCAGGGTGAAATTAGCCATCAGTCTCTAGGCTAAGAAATCAGCTGCTGGCATTCAGCCTCTGTGCAAATGGGCATCTGGCCAAGGACCTGCCTGCTTACTCTGTACTAAACTTCTGCCCTACTTATTTGGCTGTTAAGGCTCCCCTCTTTGGCAACTTATTGGTATAGAAGTTATGAGTTTTCTTTCCCCAGTGTCCCAAAGTTGTCCTCAGTTTCTACTCAGAAATCTCTCAGGCACGTAGGGATTATTCTGCTAAGTGGTAGTTAGGGGACATAGTTATGCAAATTAAGTGATTAGTTATGTTACATTTTATAGATTTGCACTCCTTTTATTTACTAGCCTCATAGTGTCCTTCTTGAATCATCCAATTTTCACTCCACTGAGTTTCTTAGCACATTAAAAAAGCACAGTATATGTAAAACTTCTTTTAAAAAACATAAAGAGCATGCGCCTTACTACTTAAAATAACCTGCATCTCTCACACAAAATGATGCTCTGACTTACTGGTAGAGGAAGAAAACAAGAGAAAGAATACAGTTAGTCATAGAGTCACTGAATTCTAAAACTGGAAAGAATAACAAACTACTAACATTTGCATATCTCTTTGTATATTACTAACTGCATTCTCCTAGATCTAATCCAATTTTTTATATTACTGATTAGGAAGCTAAAGTGATAATATCTGTAGGGAGAACAGGAGGCGAGGAATGATAAGGGCTTGATCTATGTGTACAGGGTGGTGGGAAGGAAGAAGTTGAAAGGTAGAGGAATTGGCTAGGGCATGGCGACAGACTGGCTAAGGGAAATGAAAGAGAAAGGAGAGTCAAGGATCAAGAATCTTTTGAAACCCGGGATCTGGAACCCCAGTATTGGTGCACTGCATGTTTTTTGAAATCAGGCAGGATATAAATAAACTTTAGGACAATTCTTAGAAATATAACACT